TTATTTATTTATTTATTTATTTATTTATTTATTTATTTATTTATTTATTTATTTATTTATTTATTTATTTATTTATTTATGCAATATTTTACAACATAGTTTAGTTTATTTTTTTTAGGTTTAGAAATTTATCACATGCATAATTTGCTTTTAAATGTACTTAGCTGATGAAATGTATGCTGCAATGAGATGTTAAATCATATGCAATAAGTACCGATACTGGAGTTAAACCCTAATTATTATTAGTAGTAGTATTTTTGTTGTTTTAATAATACTGAATTTTGTGAAGTTATAACATGAAAAGACGACCTGTGTTATAAAACGTAACACCATGGTAAGAGAGCATTGCGTGGTCACACAAACATCATCCGTAGACCAGATCGTGTCATTTCACAGCCGTTTATGCAGCTGACACTGGCAGCCTATGACCCATGTAGGGTGTGGCCAATCTGGGCTGCAGTCTACATTGGGTGCAACCCATTAATTGGAAATTGTTTGTGTGATTATCTGATTTTTTCTGTCAAAAGCAAAACAAGCAATAAAGTTCTTGCTCATGCTTGAGAGAGTGTTTTTGTTTGTTTGTTCGAAAAAAAGCAAAAAAAAAAAACTCATGAATGACTAAAATGTTAATGAAACTGTCAAAAGCTATCATTTGATGGACAGTTTTTTTTAATTATTTTTTTACATGAAGATGGACCAGCACTGACTGATGACATGTCAGTTTTTGGAGTGGGTGTATAAGTTTGCAGTGAGATATTTTGATCACTACCCATCCTAACTCTGAATGAATAGTCAAAAAGTTGGCGAAAGAGTGGGCGTAACACCAGAAAACAGGAGTCGGTCTAAGTTTTTATCTGTAAATTGCAAATGCATCACATTGTTTTATTATATTTAAAACAGTGATATGATTTTCTTCACAGAAAAAAAAATCCATTGGTGTTGTGAATGATACAGTACATTACAGTCCTAGTTTGTTTGTTGTGTTGCTGTATGAGCTAAAGTAATGCAAAGATTAAACCTCAAACAGACCACRTACACAACTGTCAGATTGATTTGCTTTGATTCTGATGATTCAGTTCAGCAATGTTTATTTTATTTTATTTTTTATCAATATTACATGTGAAGCTGAGGTTTATGTATAAAAAAAAGAAAGAAAACAGAAGAAAAAGTGTCCGTCCTGAGCGCTGTGGTGGATATTGCTTTTGAAGCCTTTGTGTTCCTCTGTGCCGTGTCTTGGTGGGTCAAAGCACCTTGCTGTCAGTGCCATTCAGTCAGAAAAAAAGTGTGTTAAAAATCACAGACTCGTGTGTGTCTGTATGTGTGTTTGTGTGTACAAAGAGAGTGGGCTGTGAATCAGAGGGAGAATTAGGCCAAGGAAAGAATGACTGGATGATAAGAGACCCAAACTACCCCTTCTTTTTACAAACAACAATCAAACAAACAGAAGAGTAGAATGAAAATAAAAGTAAATACATTGTTAAATTGAAAACTCAACATTCCTAAAAAATAAATAAAAATAAAAAAACTGATTGTAAACTATGATATGAAAGCAAAATAGCCATTTCAGTCAAACCTGGTAGATAATGTTATGTACACTTTCATGCAATATATTGCAGGATGTTGTGAGATGTGTCAGTGTTTGGTGAATGTGTTGGTAATTCATATTTCTGTRGTAATTTAGCAGCCATCTTAAAGCAGTTTGACCTCAGTAGTTAGCCATTTGTTCATGTCCAGTATTTATTTTTTTTTAAATCCATCCACTTGTTTATGAGGTGTTTTGCAAACTGCAAACAAACTAACGCACATGGGCAAAAACATTATTACACTCTTTTTTTCTTCTTCTCTTCTTCTAGCCATGTGCAGTAAACACATATTTGCATCTTGGCTGTGCTAGCACGACAGGTTCAAATGATCATGCAAAAGCAGTTTCATAGAGTTTTTCTTCTTTTTAAGGTCTATAAAATAGTAATAACAGCCTGTTCCCTTCAAGGCGTTCAGGACTAAGTGAGAGTCAGTGCGGTGGAGAAATGTGTCTAATTTAAAGGTGAGCAGCTACATTCCTTCTGTGCCTCATGGTTCTGCCTGGGCTGTAAATGTGTCGCCCAACTGTTGACATCGCTTGCAATATGCTGCAGTCAGAGTACTATGATCACCACACGCACTGTGAACATGAAAAGGCTGGGCAATCCCTCCTGCCTGCTTACACACACACACACACACACACACACACACACACACACACACACACACATACACCAACAGACACACAATAGTGACCATAAAGTAATAAAGCTTTGTGGAACTCTGATGAAAGCAGAGAATAGGAGGAGATGGAGACTCTGATGAATAACAAGCATTGCTCTTGTGGGGGTGGTTGGGTGGTTGTCTATGTGTGTGTGTTTGCATTGTGTGTGTGTGTGTGTGTGTGGGGTGGGGGGGTTATCAACTTCTCCCTCCAGCAGCAGTGAAAGCACAACTCCCAACCTCTATGTGGTCCTGAACCCACCCCCTCCCTCTTCTGGAAAGGATTCCACCAAATCGCAACTAATTGAATGAGTGACAATGAGCGAGCAGACGAGGCGACAGATGCTCGCGTGCCTTTACAACCAAGCCACAAAAATCACAGCTCTCATGCATACACTTCATTCTGAACCGTAGTCCAGAGCCACATTTCTTTACATGGGCTCTCTACTTGCCAAAATGGTTGTGGTATAAAGGTGGGGAGTCGGTGGCTACTGAAAACTGTTGGAGACAGACTTTTCTTTTTTTTATTTACTTATTTTTTCCATGACTTTATGTCTGCAAGACACAATGAAGAGTAGTCAGTTTGTTTGTTTGTTTAGGCTGATTGCATACATTTGTGCAGACTGCTTTGGACCTCAGTGCCACCTATGGATCAATAAAATTATGTATGGGAAGCTGGAAACAGGATAAGTTAAACAAAATAGAATAAACTTAAAGACATGGTGTCCTTGCACCTGCTGCAGAGGATGAATATTAAGCCCAATTACTGGTTTCCCTTAAGCCCAAAAATGGCTGCTCGGCTCCTCTGGTTATCTAGCGTGGATAAACGTATTAGGCCCCCATCTGCTTTTACTTAGATTATAGTCTACCCCCGCTATGCATTAATTGTTGCATTCTGCAGTGTTTAAACCCCCGCACAACCACAACCCCTGCAAACCTTGTCCCTTTCTTCTCCTTGCTTCTTCCATAAACTCCTGCGCTGACTTTGTTCTCCAAATGTGATTAGCTTCTTTGGGACGCAGGGAGTAATTGCATTACTGCATTGTGAGCATTTGGAGCTATGGAAATGTTGGGTGCCCGTATCAAACCTGTTTAAATACCAAGCGCGCTATGGTGAAAGATGTGCAAAAGAGGAGTGAATGCAAACATTTTACAGACATGGCTCAGGCGATGAATAGACATTGGGAGTGGGAATAAAGGTTTTCTGCTAATTTAAGGGCTCTGGGTTCAAAAGGGGGAGCTTCTGGTTGGTGTCCATGCACGTTTGGAATATTTAATAAGCTTTTGTTCTCAAAACAAGGCACAAAAAAGCTTTAGAAGCTGTGCAGATGCATTAACCGACCAACCCACACTGAAAAACCTGGCTCAAATGGATAACATCAATAGATCTTAAAATTGTGTTTTTATAGCATTCCCCATGCTGTGGGATTAGCAGCTGTTTGTAAATTATTAATTTGTTTTGCAGATTTTATGTTTATCCTGTTATACTTGGAAAGTAATTTTTGAAAGAATTAGCTAAAATATTTTAAACATTTAAACATTTTTTGGCAAACTGTGTTATTGTATTTGATGCATTAAGAATATGTTTCTATCTTTGACGCAAACAAAAAAAAAATGTGTGCAAAATGTGTGAATGGAAAAGCTTTTTTATTCTACAATTCCTCCATGACCGCTCATTTCTTCCCAGTTGTAAGAGGTTGGGGGTCTCTGCTGGAGTTCTGTTGGTCGGCTGTAATAGCAGGGTCCTGGTGCCAAACAAACCGTGCCAGATGGTGTACAGAATGTTCAATCTCTGTTGTGCACATTTATTAAACCTCTCCTGGTTCGCGTGAATTTTATTTATTTATTTATTTTCCTGGTCAGTTGCTAAATGCTTGAACTGTGGTGAGTTTTCAGATGCTGCGCTCGTTATCAAAAGCCAGTCCTGCCGGGAGTTTGAAGTGATGCTGAACAGATTTGCGCACGCGGGGACAGAGCTGTTCCTCGGCGTGACCAACTCTTTAAAGGCATTCATTAGAGTCCGGATCCCTTTCAACGCGATTCGCCACACAGCTTACCCAGTTTATACTCTCACCCGCAGACAGCTACAGATGAGGCACATGTGAAAGATATCCTTCACTTCAGTACAAAGTGCCTTGCGCATGAAAAAGGGGAACAGTCAGCTGCCACTTCAAAAGAGCAGAAAAAAAGTCTAGGTGCAGCATAAGCTGGTGAGATGTGTTAATAGCTACAGAGGAAGCAAGTGCTTGAGTTATCCACGAAGAGTGTGTCAAAGCAGCTTGTTATTGCTGAACTTTATAGAATTTTTTTTTATTGATGATTGAAGTGTGGCTGGTGACAGTGACAATTAAAAAAAAAGTCTGTAATAATTTAAAAGCTTTGTGTCTCCATGCTGTCTGGAGCGGACAGACCCGAAGCGAGAGAACCTTAAATCTCCAATGAAAAACAAAGAGCGCTCTTTGACTGAGTGTTCCCTTCTTGGCTTGTTTTCTCCCCCCGCATGCTGGTTACTGTGAAAAGTTGTAAGAACGAACCCCACAAGGCGGGGTTTTATCCCCCCCAGCAGCACTTTCTGCCCCCCTCCCCTCTTGCGCCTCCTTCTTCCTCTGGATTTCAAGTGGGCCACCAGCCCAGCTTTTATTTAAGAAGCGTTTGTCTTTACTGAAAGGAAAGGGGGGCTGGGGCTTATGTACAGCAAGAAGATTTGAGGCGGGTTCTTTTGGACAAGTCTGTGTGCAGAGACACCTCAAACGGAGAGAGGGAGTGGAGCAGAGCGCACGGCACACAGACCAGACGCAGAGTGGAGAGGGAGAAAGGCGCACAGATTTCAGTGGCTCTCAGCTGGTTTTCCCTCACACTGGATGTGCACATGAAGGAGGACATCATTTTTAAGGACATCAACACAACTTCAATATTTTTTTTTTTATAAACAATTGCATGTTTGTGTTTTCAGTGCGCAGAGAGAGCAATGCAGCTATGACGGAGAAGACCACTTAGGAAGTTAAAACCGGGCTGATTTGTGTTCATTTTGCAGCTATTTTTAGGGTCTTTTTCTCCCTCACAAAAGATCCACCAGAAAGAAAAAAAAATGACGGGGCTTTTTTTAACAAGAATGTTGGCAGTTTTGACTGTTTTAGTGTTGGCAACTCAGCATGTCACCGGCAAGACACTGAAGTATCAGATTTATGAGGAACAAAAGGTGGGCACGGTGATTGCACGTTTGAAAGACGATGTCGCGGATGTTTTGGCGAAACTTCCCAGCTCAGTCTCTCTCCGCTTCAGAGCTATGCAGCGGGGGAACTCGAATCTACTCGCTGTGCGCGAGCAGGACGGAGAGATCAGCATCCGGACCAAAATTGACCGCGAGAAACTCTGTGAAAAGAATCTCAACTGCTTCATTCAGTTCGACGTGCTGACTCTCCCCACGGAGCACCTCCAGTTGTTCCACGTCGAAGTGGAAGTGCTGGACATTAATGACAACGCACCCCAGTTTGCTCGAACCATCATTCCCATCGAGATCTCCGAGAGCGCGGCGGTGGGAGCGCGCATTCCCCTGGACAGCGCCACAGACCCCGACGTCGGTGAGAACTCTCTGTACACATACGCACTAGAGCCCAGCAACTTCTTCAAGATCGACATTCAGTCCAGAAGTGACGGGGTTAAATATGCTGAGCTGGTGGTGCTCAGGGAACTGGATCGAGAGGTGCGCTCCAGTTATGAACTTCAGTACACAGCCTCTGACAGGGGCGTTCCCCCGAGAACGGGTTCGACCCTACTTAAAATCAATGTCGCTGACTCGAATGATAACAGTCCTGTCTTTGAGAAGCCATCATATGTGATCAACCTGCCTGAAAACTCACCTGTTGGCACTCTGCTCATTGACCTGAACGCCACAGACGCGGATGAAGGCACAAATGCCAAAATAGTCTACTCCTTCAGCAGTCACGTGTCACCCAAAATCATGGAGACCTTCAAAATTAATCCCGACAGCGGTCACTTGACACTCATCAGGCGTGTGGACTATGAGACACTGAATTCTTATGACATTGATGTGCAGGCTCAGGACATGGGTCCAAACTCCATGCCCGCTCACTGCAAGATTTTGGTCAAAGTGGTAGATGTGAATGACAACAAACCTGACATCAACATTGATCTCATGTCCACTCAGGGGAATGGAGATGCAGCCTATGTATCCGAGTCATCACCACTGGACACGTTTGTTGCATTTGTGCGGGTGGAGGACTTGGACTCGGGCTTAAATGGAGAAGTAGAATGTAAGCTTCACGGTCAGGGTTTTTTTAAACTACAAAAGAAATATGAGAACAACTACATGATTTTGACCAATGTGTCGTTGGACAGGGAGAAAAGATCAGAGTTCAGCCTGACTGTGGTCGCAGAGGACCGGGGAGCCACCAGTCTCTCCACTGTTAAACATTTCACTGTGCATGTTACTGATGAAAACGACAACCCGCCACGTTTTGAGAAGGGACGATATGAGATCTTCAAATCAGAAAACAATGCCCCTGGAGCATATTTGACATCCATCATGGCAACTGATCCTGATCTGGATGCCAACGGACAGGTGAGCTACTCTATCCTGGAAAACTCCATTCATGGAAGTCCCATCTCCACCTATGTGACCATTGACCCGTCAAACGGTGCCATCTATGCTCTGCGCACATTTGACCGCGAAGATGTGAGTGAGATTTCTTTTGTTGTACAAGCAAAGGATGCGGGGAAACCTGCTCTGACTAGTAACGCCACCGTTGTTCTGAATATTCTGGATGAAAATGACAACCCTCCGGTCATTGTGGTGCCACAGTTGTGGAACTTTACAGCAGATATCCCTGCATCAAAGTTCACTGAAGCAGGACAGTTAGTAACCGTCGTCAGAGCAACTGATCGTGACACGGGGGTCAATGCTGAGCTCATCTGCTCCATTGTCAGTGGCAACGAGGAGGGGTTCTTCCTTATTGACCCAAGGACATGTGAGATTCATGCTAATGCTAGTCTGGAGAACTTTCCGCGTGATCATGCTGAGCTCACAGTAGTAGTCAGAGATCAGGGAAGTGAAAGCCTCAGCGCCAAAGCTTTTCTGAAAGTCACCCTTTACGAGAACATGGAGAACCACGTGCAGCCCATGGATCAGGGGGAGTCTTCTTTTCCTGATGTGTCCCTGATTATCATCATCTCCCTGTTGACCATTTGTGTCGTGCTCCTGATTATCATGGTGGTGTTTGCCACTCACCGTAAGCGGGAGAAAAAAGACAACAGACACTCTTACAACTGCCGGGTGGCCGAATCGACCCACCAGCACCACCCAAAGAAGCCCTCCCGGCAAATCCACAAAGGTGACATCACCCTGGTCCCCACAGTGAATGGCACCCTCCCTATCAGAGCTCACCACCGCTCGCCCTCGGCCACGCCTCCGATGGACAGAGCCCAGATCGGGAGCAGGCAGAACCAGCACAGCCGCCAATCCCTAAACAGCCTGGTGACCATCTCCTCCAATCACATCCCAGAGAGCTTTGCCCTGGAACTGGCTCATGCGACTCCACCTGTGGAGGTGAGAACGCAAATACAAACAGTGTCTCTGAATTTCACACGTGGTCCCTCAGCCCTAAAATATCTGTGTCAGTTTCTGTCTTAAACAAACACACGCATACTAACACACTCTATCTTCCTCCTCCTTCACACACAGCTGTCTGTTTGAGCAAATTAACTCATCTCCAAATGTGACAGGGACTTAATCAACACTGCCCTGTAGTTCAGACTGACTCTCATTAAAGCTGTTGATGATTACAGATGTCTTTGTCTTTACCTTGTTCACACCCTGTCACAGTAACTTCCATCACTGTCACGCCTCAACCCTCAGTCACGTTTCCATATTCATTTAGACTCATATTATGTCCCCTTTTTTTGTTTAAATGTCATCCATTTTGTCTCACCCATTTTTAGCAGCCTCTCCATCATCCATTTTGTGTTTACTCATCCATTATTTTGTCTTCTTGTTGTCTCTTGTTCTTTTTTACCCCCTCTTCAACGTCCCATCTGTTATACATCCCCCTTTTCTGTTTGTTTTTGTTTGTTTTATTTTTTTTGTTTGTTTTTGTCATTTTTTGGATGTAGCAAGTCTCACAGCTTCTGTCCATGCTCCATCAGGGCCAGTACCAGCCCAGACCCAGTTTCCGTGGCAACAAATACTCCCGCAGCTACAGGTAATTTACCCCTATCCCCAAGCCCCTCTCCTCTTCCCGAAAAAAAAAATCATTTGTTTACTTTTTAAAACCTCTTGTTTCTCATTGTGTACTTCATGTTCCAACAATCTGTTGTGAAGTATATTTGTCAACTGATCCTTTACATTGTTTAATGATGTGTAAATGTTGATTTTGTTTTGTTGTTTGTTTCATGTTCAATTTGTTGTCATATCTGATATCATTCAGTGTAACAGAATGCATTTTCTTACCACACTGGGTTTCATGGTTCTTCTCATTGAAAACAGAATCAGGTTGGAAAGTTGGCATCCATCAACACTTTCATCATGATATCTCCTTATGATTTCTAAGTGATGGATTTATTGATGCCCCTTGTGGCTGCTGGTGTAGATTTATATGTGGAATTTACTTGCATGTAGAATTTATAGGCCAAGCCTTGTCTTGTGATTTGACAGATTTGCAGAAGCAGCCTCAAGTCTGGTATGATGGATTTAGTCTCCTGAACAGACAGACTGATTCATCTGGCTTTTTATGTGAAAATCATCAACTTGCATCACCAGTTTTCTGAGGGCATTCCCATGTTTACAAACTATTTGATGTGCATTTCTCTACATAGGTATGCATTGCAGGACATGGACAAGTTCAGCCTCAAGGACAGTGGCCGTGGGGACAGTGAGGCGGGGGACAGCGATTGTGAGATGGGGCGGGAATCCCCTGTGGACAGGCTGCTGCTGGGGGAGGGCTTTTCTGACCTGATGCACCTCGAAATGCACCATAGACTCCACCCAGGTGAGATTTATTTGATTATTTTTGTTTTATTTTTGCAAACTCCTCGTCTCAGTCTTAGCAGCACTCTGCAACAACACATTTATTTTACTTTCTTTTTTTTTCTCTTCATATTACACTTTTCTTGGAAGACTTGACACCAATCAGTTACCTCACAGCCCTGACACCTTCTGCAGCAGCTCAACTATCACTTCAGTATTGTGGGTACAATCACACTTTGGCTAAATATGTTCAGTGAACGTAATCAATCTGAGCTGTCTAATTAGTTGTAAACCTCTTGAAGGAAACTGAATAGATTTTAAAACTTGAACAGAACCAGAACTGGCCTAATTCATGCAGACCACACCCAGCTCTCTGCCTTAATGCCTGCCTGACAAATTTCAGCACCATGGACAGTGTCGAACCTAAGCCTATTATTTGTCTACACACCTGCCTTTACAACCACTAAATTCACCCTGTTGCCGACACAATCTTTATTGTACTTGGCCCCCATTCTTCCACACAACCCTCATTTCCACGCTCGTTATCACACCCGGAGAGGTTACAGTGTGCCTGGCTGTTTGTGCGTGTGTGGTTGTGTCTGTGCGTTATCTGCCCCTAAGATAGAGTCGTGTCTGTAAAATCCTCCCCGGAGCCAAGATGAGTCGCCTGTCACTCATCGGTATGCGTCTCAGGGTGCTGTTTTTTTCCCTCCTTTCACTCTTTTTTTTCTTTCTCTTTTTTTTCCCCTGGTGAGTGACAGTGGTGTGCTTTCATGTCTGAACTGAGGAGAATTCATAGTAATTGCTTTTAGAATGATGTTATTCTCTCCCTCTCTTAGCAACTCTCTTGCTCTCTGCTGCTCGCCTGAGAGCTCCTCCACATGTCACTGTTTCTCCTCTGTACTCATTAATGTATTCTTAATCTTTATTGAGATGGATAAGGGGATGGATTGTGGACACAGGCAGTCTTTATCTCCTTTTCTCTTCCTTTGTGAAAGACTCTGAGGTGTTGCAACTCTCTTCCCTCCCCCTTTTCTTCCGCTATCTTTTATGCTAATAAGAAAAATAAATAAATAAATAAATAAATAAATAATAGGGGGAGAAGATAATGGCCCGACAGGCAGGATTACTACAGTTTTTCTTCAATAGATTTAATTTGTTTACATTTTTTTCTGTTTAGATGGACAAAAAGGCTATTCATGTGGGAAATGATAAACAAACTAAACAAAAAAAAAAAACATTTTCTACCTCAGCATTGTTGTTGGGATTTGCAGACATATTTGGTGGAGGAGACAGCATCAACACTGAATGCCATAAGGGTATAGACTCTAGCAAATGTTCATTTATTTTGCTTCTTATGGTTTCATTCATGGCTCCATTTAAATATGCTTTAAACTGTAAATAACACCAGCATGTGATCAGGAAGATGATCAGCCTAACAAATACAATTTATTGTCATGATCTAAAAGTTCAACTTGAATAGTTTATAGATTTTGGAGTACATAACTTCATTTTTAAACATGCCTCAGTAACAGTTTTTATTTAAAAAGAAAAAAAAATGTATAGGTCTTCTGGACGGGTTCTTCTCTAATGAAACGTTTCGTCTCTCCTCCAAGAGACTTCTTCACTCTGAGAGTTTCAGGAAACTCTGAGACTGAAACTCTCAGACTGAAGAAGTCTCTTGGAGGAGAGACAAAAAGTTTCATTAGAGAAGAACTCGTCTAGAAGACCTATACAATTTTTTTTGATTTTTTGATTTTTTACCTGGATTACTGAGATGCATCAGGACAGTTTTTATTTATTTTAATTAGAAATTTCCTATTAAGGCAGGGATGTCCAAATTGTGGCCCGGGGGCTATTTGTGGCCACTGAACTGATTTTGCTTGGCCCCCAACTTCTGTTCTAGATTTATATTATTTGTTTACAAATTTGTCCCCCCAGCACAGCTGTTTGCTGGAGACTTTCTATTTATTATTAGGGCAAAATTTTCACAAAGTAAATTCTTATAATAAAAAAAAAATTGGCAACAATGCCATTTATTTGTCTTTAAATAACCATAATCCTGATTTTATTGATCATAATTGACAAAACTGGGTTATTTTTTCCCCAATTGAAACCTAGAAAATTGCAAAATTTATTTCAATAAGGCAAACCTGCAAAACACTTGTGAAGTTCTGGATTTAAATTAATTTGCACAACCATTTCCAGCAATAAATGTAACTACTTTGGTTGTTTCATTAAAGTATTCAATGCTTTGTTCATTGTTGAGCAGGTAAAGGAAAAGTATTTTTGGCCCTCAAGTTCTTCTGATTTTATGATTTTGGCCTATGTGACAAAATGTTTGGACACCCCTGTATTAAGGGATTCATTTATCTGAGTTGTTTTGCAGTCATTCACCAAAATGTCAAATGGCACAAACTTTCCATGCACTCTCCATAAACTCTTGCTTGCCTGTGATTTACTTTATTTTTTTTCCTCCCTTTTTGCTTGTTTATTTTTGGTTCTAGCTATGAGACTGTGCACAGAGGAATGCCGCATCTTGGGACACTCTGACCAGTGCTGGATGCCGCCAATCGCCTCCCCGACTTCCTCCGCCGACTACCGTAACAACATGTACATCCCCGGGGAGGAGTCCTCGCAGCAACCTCAGCTCGAAGACGACCAGTCCTCGGTGGACTCGGAGCAGCGTAAGAGCTTCTCCACTTTTGGCAAGGAGTGTGGAAGTGAGGAGCTGGGGGCTGGAGGGGGAGGCGACACGTGCGCAGCTGGGGGCGGGGCTGGTTCCCTCCTCACAGAGATGAACTCTGTGTTCCAGCGTCTTCTGCCCCCTAATATGGACTCCTACACTGAGTGCACTGAAACAAGCCCACCCTCATCTTCATCAGCCGCTGAGAGAGGAAGCAGCCGCAGTGGCAACATCGCCAGTAACCATAGTAACAATGCTGTTCCTCAGGACAGCCGGAGAGGTTTGTTGCCAGGTGGTAAAGGTCCTGCTTACCCCCCAGGTGTTGCCGCATGGGCTGCCAGTACCCATTACCTAAATCCAGGAAGTGGATCTGTGGGGACGAACCATGTTTCCGCCTCCTCTACGTCCCCATCGTCAACCTCCACTCCCAGTTCCACCAATGGACAGCCAGCACACCTGAAGTGGCTGCCGGCCATGGAAGAAATCCCAGAAAATTATGAGGAGGATGAATTTGATGGCGTCTTCCATCAGGGTCACCAAACTGGGAAACGCAGCGAGAGTCGCCACGAGTCCGGCATAGACACGAGTGAACTGGCTCACGAGATCAACAAACTGCTGCAGGATGTCAGACAGAACTAGTACGGACTAACAACAACAACAAAAAGCCTAAAAATGTGTTTAGTGTTGTGGAGGAACATTTCACCACATTCTGGTGCATTCTTGTTCATTGTGCCAACCTGAAACTGTATCTTGGTGGGGTTCTTTTTATACTGTAATGCTTGTCTTGTTTATTTTACCAAATTTCCTCTTTGCCTCTCTGTGCTGGGGGGACTTACAGAGAAAAGAAAACACAGCACTGAAATTGTGAAGCTACTTAAAGGCATCAAAGCCAGAGCTCGGAGAGCAGATTGTGTAGCTGTTATTACAGTCTCTCAGAAAGTCACTTGAATGAGTGTTTTCAAACTGAAAATCCATCAACAAAAAGACATTTCTTTTTCGTCATTTGTAATGTTTACAACAGCGTGAAAAGACTCGGAGAAAACCAACTGATGTGTGATCTGATTTTTACTCCATAGTATACAATACTGTACAGTGTTTTGTGGGAAAAAAAAGGCAAACTCACTTGAATATTGTGCCATGTCTCCTGTTTTGTTATTATGGAATGTAACTGTACAATTTGACCTTTATATTTCAAAAATACACAATTTTTTTACTTCTCTATATATTTATATGTGTCCATGTATGTATGTACAGAAGATGAAACAAATGTCTATTTTTTATATTTGTCACTGCATGTCTTAATATGTCTTTATTTTGTCCCCTTTCTTCTGCTTTATTTCTTTTTGTAAAACAGCTGCATTTAATTTTGTTATTGAATGTGTGTGAGTGTGTGTGAGCCTTCAGTTATATATATATATA